ACTGCTCTTCCTTTGTCTTCAGATTGTAGGTGAATTCCATGTTCTTGTTCATGCTAGCCTGGGGAGGAAGGCCGATGTAGATGTCCACCTGGCCGTTCTCCGTGTGTACAAGGCCGCTGTGGTGACTCAGCAAGAACAAGCGGAGAGCGAAAAATGCAGAAGTGCACTTGACGTGGGACTCGAAAATCTCCAAAGGTACGGGGTTTTCGATCAGCTGCCAGTTGGGATGCTCGGGGCAGTGAGAGCTGAGATAGTGGAGAGGGTTGGGGAAGAAGTAGAACTCGTCCATGGATATTTGGGACTGGAGGTCTTCCAAGGCCTTGTCGTCATCGTCGTCTATGACGGAGTAGGATCCCCAGTGGGTGTCCACGATTCCCCACCGACCGTCGATGCACACGCCGGTCCACGTGGTCGAGGGAGGTTCTCCGACGTACTTGGTTCCCGGGAAGCAGCGAGCACCCTTACAGTGGCCCTTCACGAATTCGCACTGCAGTCCAGCATATCTGCAACAAACAAGGATAGAGCAATCAATGTTAGAATTTCAAAATAAATCAGATCTACTACAGTGGAAGCCGCTTATTTGAAAAGCTTATTTGTATTTAAAGTACATGTACTAATCTCTGAAATGTAGCTAAATGTTGGTGGGCTTTCATGGGTTTTTAATAGCACTGTGTATGTCGTTGACCAGATACACTGCTGTTACCTGCAAAGATAGTTGAAGAGGTAGCGATAGGCATCCGTCCGTCTCTGCTTGATCTTCTGCAGAAACCAGTCGGGAGAACCCTCTGGTGGCGGCTGTGGGAACTGCATGCGATGGACGTCCTGTGCTGCGATCCAGCTGAAGAGGACTCGCACCTTCTCCAGCTCCGTGTGTGTGGGCTGCATGAGATGGCTGACCAGGAGCTGGAAGTCGCCATTGAGTGATCGCGGAGCCTGTGGGAATGAAGAAAAGTAAGAACACAGTCGTGAATGGTATGACCGACTGTACATCAAGTTTTATTTTACACTTTTGCAACAGTAGCAGGAAAATTATATTGATCATCGAATCCCATTCGAAATCAAACGGCAATGATAAGTTTACTATCTCCTGTATTTTTGAGATGAAATCAGTATTGTTATGGTTATCCTACCGTAAAAATATCCAAAAGTAAAGCTCATGTTTGTCTCCCCACCTTTTTGGCGTAGCCGTCCAGTTCTCTGAATGTTTCCTTCTCCCAGAACAGGGAAGGTTTGTGGACCACGTGACCAGTCCGCCCGCCGGCCCCCAGTACCGTGTACGTCAGCATCCTCTCACCTGTCTCCTGGGAGAACGGCCACACCTGGACAGGTACGGGCGAGGGATGTGCAGATATATATACGGAGGATCTAACACTTTCACACTAACCTCCCAATACATATTGCTATTGGCTATCCTTTGTGCATACAGTCTTGGTTTCATGGTTTTACCTTAAAGGCATCCAATGCGATTTCAGGCCAGTAAAACTGGATTTTCAATTTTTCTGTCATTTTTAGATGTAGTCAGTTAAATGAACCCGATATCTGTGAGGCAAAAACGGGATGTCGCTGACAGAAAACTGTTGCTTGCTTCCTATCATAGGGTCTAGCTATTGATTGATAATACCAGAAATAAAGGAACTCTCTCACGTAGTTTGTTCCTGTGTTATTTCAAACGCTTGAACGCTTGAAATGATCGCAAAACATGTGCTAAGAAGTGGCAGTAAATGTCAATTTGATACTACATTGGATCCCCCCTCCCCCAGATGAATAAAACGCTGTACAGCACGATGTCTCACCTCTTCATCATTGTGAACACTGCACATCCTGCAGGTGGTCTGCCACGTCAGTCTGACGTCATCAGGAACACTCGGCATCCAGTCCGGCCCTTCAATGACTTTCTTCTTCCTGTTCACCTTCGTCCACTGTGGTGATTGGAAGTGGCATTGTATATGATGTACATGTAAATTGGTATGTGTTAGTTCGTCACATCGGAATAAGATGCTGAATTTCAATGCGCAAATGGCATAGTAATGTCGCCGATATCATTCATTTACATGATGCATACATACAATAAAATAATCTGCATCAATTTTGACATTGATATTGTTCTGAATAGAAACGGCAAGTTTTCTTGGATTGTCCGTTCACCTGCTGTATTATTGTAGCTTCCTTTCCTGTTAATTTTACGCTCTGAATATCTAGTACGGCATCTCGAGCACGTAGCCCATTTCACATAACTGGCAGCTTGCCAAATAAAGCCTACCGCAAACGGTGTGTGAAAATGCTTACTCTTTGTTTTCTGCTTTGAATGATTGTGAATTTGCTGTCTCCTGTCACTCTATTTTTTTAAAATATTTTCTTTTGTCGTCATCCTTTTCAAATTTTGAAATCAATAGCATGACCCCCTGCCGACTTAAACACGATTCCATTTCCGCATGCGTTGCTAATATAACAACTACCAGGATACAATTGTTCCTTTCAGACGGTGGAAGAAAGCTACCATGGCAGGTAACGTCAGACACCATATAACACTGTCAGAGTTAAACTAAGTTGATTAAACAACAACAACAGTTACCCGATTGGTATCAGCGACTGTTGTCGGTGTTGTTGGTTGTCCATTACTGGGGCCGGGTACCAGAACCGGCTGCAACAGTGAAAAAGGAAGAGAAATGTTGGACATACGGATACAAACTTTAGTTCAACCGACCGTACTGGTTATATGCTTTAAGTTTTGCACCCATTATACACGTACCATAATGTTTTGTATATCTTTGTTTTTCCTCCACAAGGCAAATATCATAGTACCAAACAAATGGTAACAACTTTCAAGTCTAGCCGAATATTTAAAAATAGATTCAGATATTGAAAAGAAGTACAATGAAAAGTTTGTCCACGATAAAACAAATTTACAGAACTGATAATATAGCACGCACGTTGAAACTTTATGATACCGTTCATAGTCTGAAAAAACATCTCGTCCCATGACTAACTGTTAAATTAGTCAATCAATTAAGCTGTCAATATTATTGATCGACACTTGTCAAATACCGAAAAACAGAAGTAAAGGCCACATACTCCTCAAACACTGCGTGAGATGAGAATAGATTTGTAAGATTTACTGTAAGGTGTTTTACATCTGCATCAACAAACTTTCTATAGTTGGGCAGGTGATCCCATTAAAAAACCCACGGCGCCCTTGTCTTTGAAATCCACGATATATAAAATGTCATGCATAGATCCATGCCCATGCATGGCTCTCATGTATCCCGTACCTGGTAATACGGTGAGGTGCACGGTACTGGGTACTGACCCGGCCCCAGGACAGTCTGGCTCTGAAGCTGGCCGGAAGTCGACGCCCCACACCCCATCCTGTCGAATGTTCACCCTGACACTGAAGTAGAGAATGATACTGTAGGAGTTCCTTATTGAGTAGTTAAACCATTTCAACTGATAAGGTTATCAAAAACAACAATCTCTACAGGCTCGTTCTCATTGAAATGTACAAAATGGTGATTTTTTGGTCGAAAAATTGATGATCTGTTTTTTCAGGCACACCTACCTTATGTTTTAGGAAAACATCTCAATTAATGATTACCAAAAAAGGACAGCTTAATTGTCATGGGAAGTTACCGAAAATTTATGCACTTAGATAAGACATATGTAAACAATGCATTTTTAGTGGGGCAAAAACACTGGAACATCAGCATGAATTTGGTGTACAATAAAGCTTGTTTTCATGACATCACCTCAAAAGCCATTAGGCGTCAGTATCTATGAGAGTACTTCTGTCAGCCCATTATTTACTGGTAAATATACACGTATCGAACACATAAAGATAGCTAAGTGTAGTGTATAGAAGTAGCAAAAAATATCTTTGGAAGTAAAGAAGAGTAGAACATTTGAGTTTGTTGACGCCACAGAGGGTTATTTTTCTTCGGATCCATATTTTTCTACTTTGTTTCCAACTATTATGTTTATGGTGCATAGGGAAGGGAAATTCAATCTCTTGTTACGTCTTTTTCGCTACAGGTGTAACTTCCGTTACCGGTAACGGATGTTACAAAACGGACGTTTTTGTTTATTTCTCCAAGAAGATCTGCAGTTTTTATCTCCATCCTTTGAGAACAAGGAGGCATAAGTACGGACATTTCAAAACTGGGCGACTTTTTATATACCAGGTGAAGAAACTAAAATTGAAAGTAAAAACAACGGTAACGGATGTTACATTCATTACTGTAAAACAATTTGTTCAGCGAAGGTGGCTACAAATGACAGCACACACTCTTTTCTTCTTCTCTTAAAAACCTAGAAAACTTGCTAAAAGTCATCAAAATGGCAATTTCTTGTCTTATATGTGACTCTATCTAAACTGCACGACCGTCTTACTTGAGCGGTAACGGATGTTACAGAACTTGGCGACAGGTATGAACCACCTCGCACGGCGTACAAAAATAGTGACAGGAGCGATCTGACTTGATCAGTCAGAAGGCCTGGCCACCCGACTTCACCAGACAGAAAACTACTGCCGTAATCAAATTGCTACGTTTTAGGTTGCTTTTTAAAGTTTCTATTTCTTCTCAGGCGACAGCCGCTTTTTAGGGGGAGAAATCCAACCCGCGACCATAATTTCTCTCAAGTCATCAATCAAATCTAGTTTTGTGGTACATTTTTCGTGAAACATAGTAAGTGAAGTGGGAAAGTCAAGAAAGCAACGATGAGGTCCGTCATTTGGCTCATATCTAGTCGTAAAGAGTGGCGACAGCATTTTGTACATTTGAATGAGAACGAGTGTACAGTGAGGTATTGAAAAAAAATTATATGATGTACAAAGCCGCTACTTTCCACCCACGTAGCATGGTTAAACATACTAGAAGTGAGACACAAATTTGTTTATTCAAAAGCGTGATACTTATGATTCTATTCACGTAAGGCAAAGGTTTCAAACCTGATCAAATCTAGATGTTATGCCTACACCTCATGTGTAATGACGTTATCAAAGATTTATGAACACCATGTCATTATTTTATAGATTCCATGTGCTAAAGACTTAACCAGGTGGTTGTTGTTTATATGGGGTGAAAGATCGCGTTAGCGGGTCGTGGGAGAGTCAATACATTATTGCGATCATATTTGCCTCCTGTACACTTACAAGAGTTTGTTCCCAAAGTCCGATTCACAGGTAGTTTGAGTATAAAGCTAATTAGCTTGTAGTTATTTACAATAACAATATCTCTTCCCTACAATGATCCTATAATGATCATCTAGTCACCACGTATCCATGGACGTGGCAGCCGTCTCGCACCGTTAATAATGACAGTAGTAACCGACAATGGTTAGTTTTTTCTCTAAACAGCGCACATAGCGAAACTAACCCCATAGAGATTTAGACAACATTCTACTTTTCACCCACTGGTTTCATTTAACGTCAGACCTTACGTCAGAATTGATATCGAATAGTTAAAATCTGTTGTACGAATGTTCCTAGTACTACACAGTAGTACACAGAGAGGAAGAGACAGAGAATCAGAGAGAGAGACAAACACACCTACCCACGCACACATGCACCCTCCCTCCCTCGGATACCTGATCGGTATAACTAGGACAACCATATAATAGTCATGCCGATTCTATGCCATCTACATTACGTTCTATCAATTAACAAATGCACAACAAAGAAACACCCCCCCCCGCCCCAAAAATGGTGGAAGTGTATCTTTAATACCATCTATCAATCCACAACAAGAAGGTGCAAGTGAATCGTGAATCCTCAATGAATCCTCAAAGTCAGCATTAACGTCGTACTAGCTAGGCTAAAATACCTAAATCTACAATCCAGCAAATTGCCAAATGCAGTTCCACATGTATGTTTTGAATGATTGACACTGAATACTGAAGCGTGATATTTTAGACCGATCCAGTAAGGAGGTAACTTTTCTAGCCTTTCCAAACTATATGGCATGTTCCATCTTGTACATTTGACATTCAGTGAAAAAGAGGGGTGAACATGTGGAACGTAACGTTCCACATGCGGTGTGCCCACCGTGCTTTGTTTCCTTATGAACGAGGAAACGTATGGGATCCTTCCACTAGTTACCCTAAGTTGTTTGCACTAAAGGGGGTGTTGGAAGGTGCACCGTACACACCACATGTTTGCCAAGACTAAACTGTTAACCTGTAGTGCCAGTAGAGAGCAAATTGTACTCGCTTAGACAGATTTAACCCATTCTACATCAGAGTTACTAAATACAACAAAAACACAATTAATGTCTGTTTCTTTTGTCAACATCTGATGCATAACAATTTACGAAATACCCTAAAATGGCTCATATATCTCGTAAAAAACAAACAGTGTCCTACCTTAGCCCCCCAAGCAACACTGAAGTTGTTGCCACCACTTCTTCAGGAGTTTTAAGAAATCCGTCTGGACACCGGTGCGCTGGTAAACACAACCAGACCCATGAGCAGTCAGCCGCACCACGTAACACAGTGATTCAACTATGCCGAGGTCCAAGGCAACTGGCCCTTGTTTTAAGAGTGTATCCGACTAGCTCCAGGCGACGACATACGAAACCCTTTGACCAAAAAGCTTTCTATTGTGACGGTAAACAACGCGGACAAAAGGTTACTTGTAACTTAGACGAGCTAAAGTTCAATGGTACAAGGTGCAGTTATGTACAAGCTGGAGCGTGGGTTGGTTCACTCACTAGGGCGGGATATTACTTAAACAACGCCATTCTGCACACCAACAAGCGTCAAGTCTATGGATATTCCATCTTAAAAAGTTGACACTAAGACAGTAGTGGTGGGGTCGTAATGTCAATGATCATAATGCCTTCCGTACATGTGTGTGTCCGCACAACTTAGCAACGCAGACATGTGTTTACACGGAGTCTGTATGGGGCATTGTGACATACCCTAAAGGACATATTGACTCACTTTTAGCCTGATGGTGATGTAAAGACGTCCTTCTTGAGCGCCACTCGACCAACTGAGCATTAAGCCATTATCATCCGCCACCCTAGAGGACTAGGTTATCAAGTTCTATTGGCCGTTGCCCATTAGTGGTCAAGATCAAATACGGTCAACTACTGCTTTCCGCGTCGGATTAAGTCTGAAGTGATGGTCAGTTGCTACTGTGAGAAATTGGTGATGTACAGGAATAAGCAAATATCGTTAAGACATAATTACACATGAGAACACCGTGTGTTGTTGTCGTAGTTGGGGGGTTTAGCGTTATTTTTTTCACATTTTAGGACCCCTAACGAACTATCGACGATGTTGACTTGTCCAAGTTGTACAAAAGAATTCTGATCAACACTAACAGAAAGTGGATTCTACAGAATTTCGGTCCATATTGCAGTCTCTTTATGCCAAATGTGTATTAAAAGAAGCTCATAAGACGGCACGTCAGTTTAGAAATTCAGAGAAAAGTACACGTGTTTCCTTGCTGGAGATACATGGCATGTATTTTGTAGAGTTTCATAGTTTCGAAGATATAGAGCCTCGCGCCATTCCCCTGTACTATACCGAGACCTGTGGCAACATGAATCCATTTATCATCACAATACTTTCCGCTGGAAACGTATTCTATTTGAACTGAGAACAGGCAGTATTTGCCTAAAGTTAATATATGCTTTAGATGCACACAATAGGCCTGACATGTATACGTGATCGTTGCAATATAATCCCTCTCCGTGAAACACGAGAATTCGGTGTTACCATAGAGCTAGGAGTCAAGCCGAGGGGGCTATATAAACCTCAATGTTTACTCCATACTGAAGGGATGGCATATAGTCAGAATAGGACCCACTCAGACACAGCGCTTCGTACCGCCCGAAGCTATGTCTGTAGGAACACAGAATCACGCACCAAAACCACCTGACGACAAGTGCAGACGACAAACGGATGTGGTCTTCCATATTGTGTTTCCCCGGTCCCTGCGCTGAGCCCTTGTTCTTCAGAAAAGGTGAGTAAAATTCAATTATGATTGACAATAGGTGCTCACCTGATTAGCGTCTTCCATACACCTTGACGGTAAGAAATTATTAGTTGGAACAGTCAGACCATAAGAAAGCCAGGTAAGTTGACGGAATGTTTATTTAAAGCTCAGGTGTACTTCAGTTAATCTTGGCTATAACCATCCAGTTCAAAGTTCAGAAGACCTAGTTAGTCGGTGTTATTTCTTTCATATAGTTTAGACATATCTATACGTATAGCAGTTTAATCGAAGAGTCCTGTGCTACATTTGAAAAGACTGTTTTGAAACCGTGTCAACCATAACATGTTGTTTTTAAGTGTTGTGGCCTGTAAAATGATACAAGATGACCCCGAAACTTTGTTACGATAAACGATTTGTGTCACATATAAAAGGCAAGATGAGTGTGTTTGTTGTGGGGACATGTTTTTAAAAATAATTTGATGCTGATGTAAACACGTAACTACGAAGTCTGTAGCTCCTACGAGGCCAGTATAAACTTCTATATTTCTCGACTACCTTAACAGTGTTACAGTAGTATATATCCTATGTGACGTATGGTAAGGTATGTGATCTCCTGCAATGTTTTAATGCGCACATCATGACAGCTTCCCTTGTTTACACAACAATGTTTCTTTAGAATCTGTCCTTGATGAGGGGTAGTCTAGTTTAGACAGGTAGCTTTAGTCCTCTGATTGTGACAAATGCAGTTGTGTTTTTGTGATTCCATAGTGCAGGGGAGCCGGTACGTTTAACAATGGGGTTGCGTTGAATGAGAGTAGAAAACAGTGTATCGTTTCCTTACTAATCTTTCATGTTAATGCAGTGACCGACACCTAATACCCGATTAAAAAGATAGCCTCGTATCTTTTTACCTAGAATATTCAGAACGTACGGATCATGAGTCTGTGTTGTCGCCTATCTCACCAATCTAAGAGCAAGCTTTCTGCATTTCGAGGTTTCTTAACACAACTACAGTGCGACGACAACAGCTGCTTTACACTCAGCCTCGGTTAGAATTTGATTTTTGTCGCACAGTTTACAGTGTTTGCCAGTCACACCTTTTCCTCTCTGATGCGACCTCTTGTCACGTCTGTTTATTTTGGACGACCTTCAGGTAGAGTACAGTGACCCTGCGCTTTGACTACGACACGTTGCGTTGGTCACTTTATCTACCTGGCAACACGTGCACAAAATATAATATTATGAACATGTGAATCCCCTCTACTGCGCTGTAAAATGGGGATTTGGTCGTAGCAGGTGATTTGATCGCAAAGCAGAACTACTCCATTAGTTTCGGTCCAGTTTTACGACAACAATACAGGGTACATATGGTCTCCTAACGTGGTATTTCATACTCCAATGCCTATGATACAGTTGCCAAGCTCTGATTACGTTCCATTTGCGTTACAGAGATGTTTTGAGGAAGTCTCTTCCTCAGTTCTCCTTGTGGACGTGTTGTTCACGATATGGGCTGTGGGTCTTCGCACGACATGGCGAAGTCAGACGCAGCAAAGGTGAGTAGTAGCACTGTACGTATGTAGCCTGGTGATCAGACCTATTTTAGCTCCCGAGTCTTGCAGAGAGAAAAAAAACTCACCGAGAGCTAAAATAGGCCAGGCTAGTAGCATTTTACTTACCTTCGACAAGAGTGCTGTATTTTCGGTGATCATGAGGTGTGTGGATTTGTTTGTGGTTTTGTGGTTTGACGGTATAACTCAATAAGGTAAGGATGGTACGTCATCGAAAGGTGGTTAGGTCTCAGCGGAAATTCTGTTTCTCGCAAGGCATTGAGTTTAATCTGAATTAAGGATATATTTTTTGCTGTCTTTTCGATGGACGAGTCTTCGACAGGCAGTTGTATATATGGATTTGCAGACAATAATCAGTAATTTCTGAGTAAAATATGTTCGCAGAGACCACTCGGGACTGGTGCTGAGCACGGAGCAGGAAATGGAACGATTCTCGCGCTCGAAGCAGCTCGCAAGGTGGGTGGAGAAAATTTCTCGCTAAAGTGAAGGGAGTGTTCGAACTGTTTCTTTTCCATCTGTGCTGTTTCCCCAACTGCTATACACTTAAATTCTATCGGGGGTCCCTTTTATTCATAGATCTTGACTGTTTCGCTGATTGTATTCATTTATGAGAGCCTGTTCATGAGTCATTCCTATGACCAGTCTGATGCCGTTTAAAGCTCAGAGAGGCACGGTGGCTAAACACTATATGTGCTAAATGAAGAACCTGAAGTATTTATCACCTCATTAGCAAACTCTTTTATCCTCCATCTGTTACTGGTTCCTGACATAACAAACCAACGATGTAAATGAATTTGATAGGTCTTCCAGAAAGACTGGATGCCTGCAGTGTCGTCGACTAACCGCCAGGGGTGGAAGAAGACCTGCGCGATGTGCGGGATGTACGACGGGAAGAGCGGGAAGCTGGAGAGGACGCCGACTTCTGACGGGCTGATGACGTACGCGATGGTGGACAAAAACCGGGAGACGAAACACGTGATTCACATGCCCACATCTGAGACGGAGGACACTGTCTTTAAGGACATAGATGAACATGCTGTTAAGGTAAACGTGACATTAACGTAACTCTCAGTTTCTAGCTATCACAAATAAACTTGTCTTAACTTATTTGCATATCAATCAATAATTCGTGTTTATAAACCTGCAGATTTTGAGATCTCTCCAGTGTGACTGACGAAAGGCCACCTGACTGAAACGTCCTACCGTTTCCAAAGTCATATCCAGTTGCTTGATTAACTGTTTTGGGCATATTACAAATAAAGCCTACAGCGACGTAAAAATCAGTATGCATCATTACATGGCTATACATGATAGAACCCCGACTCACTATGTCAATCTACTAAGAAGTAACTCATTTTTAATACAAATCTTTGATCCTGTAGACTCCGAAGTCGCTGAGTGAGGATTTCGCCTCGCTCGTTGAGCACCTGACAGAGCCGTGCACGACAGAGCTGGAGAAGGCGAGGGTCCTCTTCAGATGGGTCACCGCTCAGGACATCGTCAACATGCAGTTCCCGTCCGAACCGAAAGAGGACTCACCTGAGTGGCACTTGAAGGAGATCAAGGAGAAGAGAGAGTTTCATTCTGCTCTCTTCAGTCAACTCTGCAGGTTGGTAATGACACGATTGTCCAATGGGGTATAGAACTTTTAATGGTGGGCAATGTCATAGACTATATAGCTAAGAAGTTGTTAGCCGTGTCTCAAAATGATCTATTCTTGTTGCAAACGTTCTTTTGAGGTGCTTAAATCTTCCACTTACTACTACAGCAGTTTCATCATTTATCGCATAATAACAGCAAATGACGTACTGGCACATTCCAAGGTAGCTACTAGTATCATCACTGAACCTTCTCCTTATTTCTTGTTTTCTGCCTGTGACAGTCATGCAGGCCTGGAGCACGAGGTGGTGAATGGTTACACCAAGGGCGTCCGCTGTCTCCCGGGCACGGCACTACAGGGCACGGATCACAGAGGGAGCTGGACACTCGTGCTCTTAGATAACAGGTCAGTGAGACTGTCCAGCATTGGCTAATAATGCAAGGGATATAGTTTGGCATTTCCCAACATGGTAACTTGTTTTTATTAGCGATACAAACAAAGAAAAATAGGGACTTTAAGGCCCATAGCAGCTATAGAACATGTTGAGTCTTTAGGCTGTGTTGTTGTTTAAAACTATTGAGGAAGTGTTCTTTCGGGATAGCCTTATGTATTATGTGTGGGAGACAACTTTCAACTCTACACATTACAGATGGGGTATCATAGACACATCGTGGGGCTCCCATCACATGATCGATGACGACATGAAGGAACTAGAGGAGGTGTACTCCGTCGAAGAGTTCTACTTCTTACCTGACCCAAGCCGTTACATCATCTCTCATTACCCGGATGTGGACAACATGCAACTTCTTCCCAAACCGATTTCGTTACCAGACTTTGAATCTCACGTGAAATGCTGGCCGGATTTCTTCACATATCAGCTAAAACTGCTGAGTCATCACCAAGGGTTGCTGAAAACAACAAATGGCGAAGTTACCATTTACATCGGATTCAGGCCAGAAGACCACAGCAAGGTCAAGTTCGCACACCATCTAAAGATGGCGGACAACGGGACAAAATGGCGGGGTGTCAACCTGGACAGATTCGTGAGACAATCGCGGAAGAAGGACGCCGTGAAGTTTGTTTCCTTTCCACCAGAGAAGGGGGACTTCTTGTTGGACATATTTGTCGGAGTTGAGGGAGAAGAAACTAACAAGTTTGTTTGTAAGTACATGATAAGTTGTACCGAGGCGTTAAGTGACACTGCTAACTCTCTACTACCGGAATGGCAGGGAAACTGGGGACCCGGGAACCAGGCGCTAGAGAAGGGCGTGATGCCGATATCTCACCGGTCATCTACCATCACCTGTATAGACGGCAGGGCGCAGGTGGAATTCGCACTCTCGCGAGATCTCCGCTTCAGCGCGAAGCTGTACGAGAACAGCATCCAGGACGGCCACCTGCTGCGGAACGTCGCGCACGAGATCCGGGACGGAGTCGTCACGTTTCACATCGCTGATCCGCTGACGGGAAACTGCGGACTGGTTATCTACGCTCAAGATGCGTCCGGCGAAGAAAAGGGCGACACTCCGCCTTTGTGTAGCTACATCGTCAAAGACGGGAAAACTGGAATTGACCCTTTCCCCGAAGTTTCCAACGGCCTGTTCGGACCTATCGAGCCTCTGTTTTCGCAGCGCGGGCTGTCAGTTCGACCACACGACAGCGCGTTCTTGGAGACCAGTACAGGTGAGGCAGACATCAGAATTCTCACCGAGAGACCGCTGGTGTGGTCTCACAAACTCACGTGGGAGACCGCAGAGGAGAAGATAGACTTCAGCAATCACGTGTTCCGTCAGACGCAGGAGGAGGAGGTGCAATTTTGGCTGCGGCTGCCCTGGGTCGGCTGGTACCGGCTAGCCATCTTTGCTGAAGAATTCGGCCACAAAGGCAAACTGCGAAACGTCACGAACTACTGCATCCACTGTACAGGCACGAAGCCGGCGTGCGAACCGTTCCCTTCTGTGAATGGGGACCAGTGGGGCAAAAACGTCCCCACATTTCGTGACCTTAAACTTTCAACAGACAGCCATTCCGACGCCTACATTCCTTGCCGGTCGCGGGAAGTTGAAATCAGACTGTCGTCTTCACTGCGCGTTGCTTTCCTCAGTCAGTTCAGATACCAGGATAAGGACATGTCGGACTACATGTGTGTGAGATCGCTCGACAACGGAAACAAAGGCGCGTTTCTTGCCCGTTTGCCCGAGAACGGCCAGTACTGTCTTGAGATCTTTTGCAAAGAGACGGATGACGAGGAACCCAGCAGTGATGTGGTGAACTACTTGATCATTTGTGAAAGCATGGCGCCTAAAAACGTCCGCCGGTTTCCGCGGGTGTCCACTGCGTGCTGGGGTCCGGTGTTCCCTATGTTCACCGAGTTCCATCTCCAACTCGTGAGTCACACGGATCCCCTAGTTGTGAGCAATTCCGGTGCAATACGCCTGACTTTCGAGAACCCAGACAACGCGGGTTTAACCTGGACCCTCAACCACTGGGACAACGGAGCAGAGAAAGACTGTAAGAACTATTGCTTTGTCCAGGAAAGTGCTACGGAAGAGAACCGTTCTACTGCGCTCGCTCTCTTGCCGCTCAGAGGTTACTACAAGTTCTCTCTGTACATCAAAGATACAAGCACCGGCGACAAGCTATGCTGTGTCGTCAACTACCTTTTTGACTGCATGAGCCGGGTACAGCGATGTCCTCTGCTGCCGCGGCCGCTGGAAGGCTGGAGACCGGAGTTTCCGTGTGGACCAGCCCCTCACAAGAATCCTTCCTATCGGAGAAACTGTTCGGTACAAGGTCAAAGTGCCGGGGGCTACCGATGTCGTCGTCATCACTTCAACAGGTAAAACAATCTTTCCAACAGAAGGAGGGGATGTATCTTGTAATTTTCATTACAGCCTTGCATGCTGTTCTAGCTTTGAAATATTACAAGAATGCTGAGTCGTGAGGACAGAAATGTTATGAAAACATACATCCGTTATAAACAATATAATGAGAACGACGCCAATATATCCTGATAAATATTCCTTAATAGACTTCTGAATCATCGAGAATTTGCTGGCCATGAACATTGTCATCTCAACGACTCCTTCCTACTTTCTCTGTCAATAACATTTTTGATGACAATATTGTTCCTCTGTGTTTCCAGGGTTCCTGTGCCACCTGAAGCAGACGGCAGAGGGGCATTGGGAGGGTCAGGTCACCGTGCCGCCGGACGAAGAGGACCGAGGAAAGCCGATGACGCTGGCCGCCAAGTTCGGGAAGGGCGATCCCAAATTCTCCCTGCTGCTAGAATACAGAGTCGGTAAGTTGAGTAAATGATACTAGAGTCCAATCAAGGCCTACAATATTGGCCGCACGTATTTCAATATACTTACTTAACGTTACTTAATTATCCTCTTCATTCCTTGCGAGACAAGACCAAGGCCAGAAAATTCCATCTGGACATCTGTCTTTGGCATTGTGCAGTTGACATTATCACAGAGAAATTGAGACTGAGCCTCTTTTATCAAGGGAGTTATAGAGGGTACTAACCTTGTCTTCATGTCCCAATGTGGCTTCCATGTTAACAGCAGTTTCAGGTGTTTTAAAATAAACTGCGTCGTACCCCAGGTGACAGCGGCTCCTCAGTCCGGACCGTACTACTGGAGACTGACCAGAAGGGTGGAACAGAAACCATGGTGCTGAGGAAGACCGTGGACCGCTGGCAGAGAGGAGGGGTCCAAACGGGACTGGAGGAGGCGTACCAGGGCTTCCTCAACAGGTACGAGAGCGCCATCGTGGCCGACATGGACCCGGCCCCCGTCGTTCCCAGGCTGGCGAGGGAGGGCATCCTGACAGAACAGGAGGAGAGAAGCTGTAGTGAAAACGTGAGTCAGACTTCTGCATATGTGTGGGTATAGTCTACACTTATCACGTAAAGGGGCGAGCAGTGCTCTATAACCCTACAGATCAACAGTAGAAACTGGAGCAAATAAAATGGATCAAGGATAAGGCCTGGGTAAGGAAGTCAACCAGAGTGATGAACTGGGACGAGGGGGGATATAAACTTAGCCACGTTTGAGATTGTGTTCTTGCCGAAAAAGTGCCACCGACATCGGCTACATATAGCGGCGAGAAGCAGTACTCTAGTCAGAATCTCTGAGAAAGATGACTGACAGACAAGCAGGTGAAAAACATTACACGAAAATCTCTGAAGCCTTGAATCTTATGTCATAAATATCCATATTTAATTGTTCGATCCTCCTCATATACATGTAGGATCCGCCTCTTTTACTACTTAGTCTTTCACTATGTTATTCAACATGGCTTGTTGATCCCCGCAGGTCGTGTTGAACCAGCCCGCGGCGAACAGGACAGTAGTGGGAGCGGTGCGGAGAGAAGGCGAGGACGCGTTCCTGGTGTTCCGGGACTCCCTGCAGGACTCCGCGCAGGTCGAGATCGTCAAGCTTCTACAGGACGTCATCGTCGACCAACCAAAAGGTACGAGTCCAAGACGTGTTAGAAAAGCGTCCGTTCCTTCTTCTGATGTAACAGCAGTGTTTCAGCTTGAGTTAATAAACTAAAACGTACTTTCGATAACAGATATTCCATTCAGCACCAAGGACAGCAACCGTTGTCACAAGTACGCTGTTCCCCCAGGCTACACGACATTCTGTGTCGTATACAATGAAAATGGAGAATTTGCGTTCCTTTCTTTGTTTCCCTATGAATCTGTGTCACAAAATTAGGTTTTACGGCATATAAATGGTGCGGAGGCATCTTGTCAACTGTCTTCCCTGATTCCAGGATGGCCGTTCAAATGTATTTGATGTCGTCTTCACAACAGTGATGCGTTCTGAAACTCACGAAATAGTACATACATGTATGTTGACTTCTTTCTTCCCAGATTTGGCGGTGCGGAAGAAGCTACAGGACGCCATCCGGTCCCGGAACAGAAGGCGGCTGCTGAAGGCGATGGAGGAGTACAGGGCGCTAGGACTGAACGCTGAGGACCCGGTCTTCAAAAGCGCCGAGAAAGCACTGGAGATGCTACACGTCAGACAAGGTACGTACTAATTTTATCTTCGTAGTTCAGATAATCTTAAATTTTCGTCATTTCTAACATTGATGCATCCACTACTTTTCGTCAGTCAGTGGTGGATGCTACTCGAAACATCTGACAGTTTCTAAAATCTATCCAGTTGCTTGAGTATCTTTCTTGTGTATCTCTGTGTAGTGCATTACCTGGATGTATAACCTTCATTCAGAAACCAAGATGTCCCGAGTTCAAATCCTGCCATGCCACCGATCTTGTGCCCTTGGAAAAGGCACTTTACGTGACTTTCCTCACCTGAAAATGAGTATTGTCTGACTAATTGTGCCGTCACCATATTGCAATAAAAATTGGCTTTTATTTTGTATAGTTCTCCGAGACGCCATCGCAGCCAGACGGCGGGACCCTCTGGAGAGAGCGCTGTCCATGGCCACGCCGTTTAAGGACGACCTGACGGACCTGTTGGAGCAGGCTGAGCTCGTCATCGCGAGTCTGGCGCGGCTGGAGTCACTACGGCACCAGATCCTAGAGATGAACCAAACCACGGTGTCAGGTAAGAGACCCGCGCCCTTTTAACGATGTTGCTCAATGAAAAGCCAAAGGACCACTTCTAGCCATTGAGCTAGGTGACACGACGGACGTGTGACTACGCCAAAAGATGGCGGTGAATGTTACATTTGAAAGTTTGAGGATTGTATTCGGAAGGAAAGGATGCGTTTGCGTGGGAAGGGATGGGACTGATCACTGTGTTGTCACTGATATTATTCTAATGAGGTTGCCCTCTCTCCTGGCAGAAATCAGAAGTTACGCCCACCCACCCCCGGCTGTCGAGAGAGTCATGTCGGCCACGTTCCTGTTGCTGGGAAACCAAGAATCGGACATTTCAGTGAGCAACTTTCATTACTTATGTAGTACCAATACCTATTGCTAAATGACATACGACAAGCTGTACTGGGATTGAGCATAGACCGAAAGCAGACAAGGAAACATTGATGGAACATCGGTTGTACATTTGTACTTGTCAGAATGTAATGGCGTTTAACCTTGCGATGTAAAGGTAAATGAAATACCGTGTTATTTTCAGGACTGGAAATCCCTCCAGGCGCTGATGGGTAAGACCGGGCAGGACAGTCTGAAGCGGCGGGTCCAGCTGTGCGAGCAGAGCGCCATCACCATGGACAAGGCCATGAAGGCCAAGCTGCTGCTGGAGGGGCTGGACCAGGACGTGGTGCGGGACGTCAGCGCGGGAGCTGCCGCCTTCTACATATGGGTGAGTTCATCAGGCTACGGGCCAGTACAGGGAACTTAATCTCCAAGCAGACTCAGTTCTAAAATTGCGACTTATCTATACATAAACTAGCGATTTATCTAGACATCATCGTCTTCTATTGATGTTGGTATCTGAAATATGTCTACGACTTCTTTCAGGTAAAGGGGCTGATCAGAGAGGTGGAGGACACCGCTAAGGCCTGACGTTTGCGGACAGAGCTGCAGAAGGGTGTCGTTTGCCTGGACATGTTTCATTGTAGAGCACAGAAGACGTTCCTCCCGTTCAGTATTAGTCTTTCTTAAGAACTATTGCTTAAAGTAACACAATCAGGCTGTAGAAGACTGTGAATGAACAGAAAAGTACTGCTTACGTAGAAGTACCTGCACTGTCTTGTGGAACATGAAGACCAGACAAAAAGTGTAGATCAAGAGTTATAGGTTTTGTCGTCTAGTGTCCAGAAGAAGCTTAATCAAATATTTCAGTCCCGACATTTGACAGAGATTCCACACACAGTTATTCACAAATTTTAAACATAAGACCTCATTCCACTCCACAAAACTAGATAGTTCTATTGTTAAAAAACGAACGAAGAAACTGATTTGAAAGTTCTGACGTGACATGAAAGCTTATGTACGCCAATAACTAGATATTTAGAATTCTTGTGATTCTTGATTATCTGTTGTATCAATTCGTATATTTAATTTTATGCTGTGATTATTTGTTGCAAAGACATGACGCATAACAAAATTTTCAATCTGTCATATTACGCATTATATGTACAAGTGCAACAATACAATGCTCTATTATACCCCTGAATATGTCTTTATTCTACATAAAAAGTACGAAATCCTAACAAACATCGACTGTTAATCAGTTAAAACGTGTGAACAACAGAGCTGCGTACGCAAGCAAAGACACCAGACCGAACATCGGCTTTGCTGTTCCTGCTGCTCCGACTGTATTCCCCAGAATCGCGACCAGCCTTGCCGGCCCTCCGCTGCCGTCTCCGATCTTCATCGGCAGGGCGTACACGATAGCGCCCGTGGTGGGCAGCTTGTCCAGGTTCGCCACGTTCTCAAACCCAGGGACATTGCCTCCCAACAGGGTTCGGTGCGTCTCAAATAGCTAAAGTTTACAAACGAAAAAGATGGCAATTGGTATGCATATACTGAATTTAAAATGCATTTTTATGTCAAGGTGTAGGAATTTAGATCATGATTTTAGGGTAAGAAAATCCATTACATGGTACAATGCTTCAGCACTTACAGTGGACTGTCCGTAGTCAATAGAGGCAGTGTCAATACCGACAGCGTGCATGCCACGATTCTGCACCAGCCAACGAGCGCCATCTGGGTGTATTCCGGGGAAGTGCAGTAGAGAGATGTTCTTGGTGTCGGTACCGAGGTACTGCAGTTTGTTGGACCAATACTTGCCCCATCCAGTGTTTACTGAAAAAAGAAGAAACGATGTCTCTCATCAAAACACATCAAAAGCAAAGAAACTTAGCAGAAAATATACTTTCTTGTTACAATTGAAAATTACAGCATTGTTGGAGAATTCGGTATCACGAGCAGCTAATCACAATAATCTTTGGAACAGAACAGATTTGTTATTATCATATCATTAAGCCTCGTTGATTTTAGTGTGACAGGCCGAATAAAAGTTCTAAACACGAACCAATGAGGTTTTTGAACGGCCTTGCACGAACTATGCGCACCAGGTGTCTTACTGAGGGACGACTGCGTGCATGTGTGTGATGACGGTTAGCTTGAGGAAGGAATCCACTCTCTTATAACCTCGTTGATTATACCTACCGAACAGTAAACATCCCTCCGGAATCCTGCCGTGTGTATTTTCCCAGTCCTGGAAGTCCTGTGCGGTGACCTGGTACTCTGCGTTACCGACGTCGACTGTCTTGGCGCTGACGTCCACCACGACGGCCGGACCCATCAGCCGCTCGATGGGAATATCGTCAGCTGCGGAAACACGTTATCGGCTATTTACACCACGTTGGTGGTGGGCTAAAGACGCGTGCAAAGTGATTATGTTATGTAAAAATGTCCGAAATTTCCCTCTACATACCGGTTATTCAAAAATTCCTATTGTAGGAGACTATATATGCATTCATTAGAATCACTGCTTGCGGCCTTGCGCATTTAGAATGGCAAGTCGCCATCTTGGATCCATCCAGCCCACCAACATGGCGGCGGTGGATCTAACGTCACTGTGGAGGACTTACCTCTCCACTTGTTCTTGCTGAAATGCGAAGGCGCGTCCAGGTGCGTGCCGCCATGTTCCGCCGCCTCCAGCTCAGAAGCCTCGTACCAGAACCCTCCGGCCGAGTAGTTTCTGAAGATATTTGTCAGCCTGAAAGACTTCGACGTGGGCCAGTAGATGGTGGTCCCGTCGAACGTGTAGGTCATGTCAATCACCTGCGGGTTGCCTGGCAACACTGCGTCACCGGTACTTAAGAATGACAGGGCAACCTGCAACAGGGACATGACTAGCTTCATAATACTTTTAAAACACATTGTTCTGTTCTGAGTTGAGACGTGCGTTCTGCTCCCATTCTGCCTCTCCGATATCGGACTTTATCCTCTTCATTAGAGTAAAGCCCCAGGGTCTTTTCATCCCGCCGTCAACAAGGGCAGTAGCGACTCTATCTGCACAATACTCAATATGGCCTTGGCCCGCAGATCAAATAACAGCTTCCTATTCACAACAACCTTTAGTTCTGCTCACTGAAGAGGACAGGCATTAAATGTGCGTCCTTGAAGGCTTCTCCAGATAAGGGTCGCTGACATGCTGGTTGAGGCGGGACGGTTTATTTCAGAGACTAGGCCGTATAATAACTTGCCCTCCAGGCAACCCGGCGTCACAATAGGTTTCACACAGAAAACAGCCTGTACTTATTTTTTTCACTTCATCAGTGCGACATCGATACACCCAAATCTGAGTGACGAAGGGTTGACAGATAGACAGCAAAGAAAGGGTGGGACTGAACAGAATGACTGAATGAAAGGTCTTTCGATTCCCGGACATTCTTGAGTATGGCCTGGAATGACCCTGATGTCCTTGACCAGACATGTGGGGTGACACCAGCATTACTAACAAAGCGTCTTGCCTTGACAGGAATGTTTAGTTTTTACCTCAATGTGTCACATTACCGTCTTGTAGGCTGCCTTCCAGATTTACGATCAAAAGGTATGCAGGAATGCCACGCCCCCCCCCCCCCCACGCACTATATATATAGGGCACGCAGATAGTGTTTTGCTGGAAACGTATTAACCCAGCTTTCAGACTTTTCAGCCACCTCTGTGGACTCACCAGACCGGCAGTCTTGGTCCGCTCTGCATGTGGAGATACCAACAACAACAACTGATATACATTCTATATGCTATTGCATTGCGTGTGTATTTCTAGCTTAAGGTCACGGTCACCAAGGACGTTTAAGGGCGTCACGGATGGCCTTATACGAGGTTGAATCTCGGCATTCCTAAGCTCTGGCTGGTTAATGGTCCGCCGTATGTTGTACATGTGTACGTCAATGTGTAAACCTCCATACATACAATACCGGGTGACTAGAAACAAAGTCCAACAACTCACCAACATCAGCGGGGCAACGCGACACGCGTCCATGATTTACAACGTAAACCCAGAAGTAGAAGTTGGCAGACGGTACGAGAGCACGCCAAACACCTGCAGGGGAGAGGGGAGGGACCAGTAATTGTTGTTTATGCACACCTGCGCAGTAGAGCGGATGTGCCCATACCATGATCAGCTCAACTCTTCACCAAAACTGGGTCACCCTTGGTTTTATAGTTATACGTATATATACTAGTACTTTTATTACTTTACTTGCTACCAAAGCTGCATGAGTCTATTTTTTATGAAAGCCCAAAGGTACAATTTTAATTTAATGCAGTTTCATTTTTGGTGGATACTTTCAGTTTCGATGGGTGCTTCCATTTTCTGTGGCTTTCCTTATTTTCAGTGGGTACTTCCATTTTTCCAGATCCCTCAAATGGCTATGTGGACTGAAAAATCAGGGTTTTGCACAGGCGCAGTACGTTATGCAGCTTACCAGTACAACTGTCCCGGTCAAAGGTCGTCCAGATCAAATACTAGTACTAGTATCATCCACCAGAAAAGTGACGTCAATAATAATCAAATCATGTAGTTGAGCTGTGTAGTTTGGTAGCTCCGACCAACAGGCAATGGTGGGGTATTGTAGCCCTAGATGTATGTAAATACATGCCAGGTCATGTCTCTTACCTGTGGCCCTACTAGGCTAGGTATAGTCTGCCCCACAAGGTCTGCTACCCTGCTGTCAGGCAGTCTACCATTAGCTTGCCTCCTTTCAGGGGTCAGCTGCAGTATTTTGTTCTCCTTTCGTCACCAGTGGAAAAGCGTAGACGTGGTCGCCTTCTCTAACGTTGAAGGAGATCGACGAGGACACAGGTCTAGGTGATGAACTGTCCGTCCTCGGTCAAGCAAGACAGGAATTCGAAGTTGAGGAGACTTTATGGTTTATGGCGTCACGTTAAAAGGGATGAACTGACCCTAGAACTGACCTGAATCGGTGTTGGCTGGATGCCAGTTAGTAATTGGACCCGTTCACGTCCCCGCAAACCGGACACGGCCAGCCAAGCTCACATGAATGCTTACCATGTTGCTTACTTCAAAGCTACTCAACCTACAATGCCTGTCACGCCGAAGACAACACTTGTGCTCTGAAGTGGATAAGTCTTAACGCTTTCGCCCTTGGCTTCCCCCTACCCGTGGTCAACAAAAAATCTGCCAAACTCCACTCGGTACCAGCAACCCCCCGGGACTACACCACGAGCGGGATTCCTGGCTTGATCAAATGGCTAAATGAACTGTAGCACACGGACCCATCTTACCTCTTCAAGCTGCTGTTAATCTACCATGTGTTTTGATTTGTTTCAATACTACAACGTATTGAAGGTGTAATAGCGCTCTGATGCTCCTATAGATTTTAATCGCCGTTTTTAAATGTAACTCTATACCTTTTAAATTGATAAATGTATGTTTTGTAAGAATGTTTTGTGAAGACAAGCCATGGCAGCTGCCTGGAAGCTTATTAGTGTTCCTATGTTCTTGTTCGCTGAATAAACCGGTCTACTACTACTACTACGTTACAGCAATATCAGCTTAATGTCTGCAGGCGCACCATTTTCTACTTTTGTGATTTTAACACTAATTATCGAGTTTATTACAACTATCCAGATAGTATTTACCTGTTGTTATATGACCTATTTACATTGTCTATTCACAGTTTGAGAACTTTTGTACTAAAAGGGTATTGAGTTAAAAGAACAACACAAATGTCAGGTATTTCACATTTTTTATTTGATAGTTTCTCCTAGGTGTGGAAATGTCTAGTCTTGGGGCTCCTCGATGGTGGTCCTTTCTGAGACGTAGATTCCATCCAAGAACTTCCGGATGTCCTTGTTCTTCACAGTTGTGCTCTGTTGGATAAGGGCAGCTGTTGGGGACAGAAGTATGAAAATATGACTTGAAGGTTGAAACAAAGTAAAAAAAAAACTACAGTAATGTCACTATCAGGTCTCAGTACATATTCTATAATGTTCAAACTTCAAAGGTGGGAAGGATGTCATGATGTTTCTTGGGACTCTGGGTATGTCAGTCTCTCAATTCCCAACACAAACAATGCACTTCATTTTTAAGGATACCATCACTTCCCCTCAGTGTACGAGCTAGCTTCTCCACATTGTTCTGTTACCAGTACAACTGTTTTGTCAAAGGTTGCCCTGATGAAATATCATCCACCAGAGAAGTGAAAGTCTATAATAATTAGCAACTCATTTAGTTAGACTACTGAAATGTCACTGCATACCTCGAAGAAGTATTCAGTTTAAGCTCTTTGCCTATGAAAATATCTGGAAGTCTGGTACACACCTGAGCGAGAAACCTGCTCCAGGTCGTTCCCTTCCACGTACAGCTCATCCTTCATGGCCGTGGAGAGGCTGACTTTGATGCCTTCACTCATCCTCACCCGGCGGATCACCTTCTCCCCCAGGAAGTTCCTGATGTCCAGGACAGAGTTACCCTCCGACACAGCGCAGTTGATGGGGAAATGGGCGTACACGGACCTCATCTTGTAGCGGTAGCCCTAAGGACAGCAGATCCAGAGCAATGTTAATGACTAGTCAGGAAAAGTTTGAGGGCAAGCTGATTGCATGGAGGACAAAAATCAGGTGTTTTTAAAGACATAAAATGACATGATAATGGAGAAAAAGAATCTATATGTCCCCTGTACACTTCCCAACAATGTCAGTTGCCAAATATATTGACACATACATGTAGTCATTTCTGGATACTACATGTTTTCTGCATACTTACATAGCCTTATTAAGTGATACTGTAGATCCATATGTAAATATGGAAACTGAAGGAAAAGCAATTACTGCATTGACATCCATGGTGGCACACCTGAGAAATGTACCAGGTCACAGATAAAACACAAAACATTGATTATGACAAAAATCTGAGGTTCTCACCAGTGTGACACCCTTGATCATGTTGTAGACATGGCTACAGACGGTGCGCACACAGGCCAGCTCCTTACGGTTGCCGAACCACTTCTTAACCTGCAGCTTCTTCCTGCCAAGCATCTTCATCTCAACCTAAGGGGGACAGATGGGTCTTGTGTTAGTATTGCAGAAAGCCTAAAACAACTGTGTACAAATATCTCAATCATGATGTGTAGTGATTCATAATCTCCAAGCAGATCCTGTGGTGGCAAGACAGTACCAGGTATCCATTGGCCAG